CCTTGCAAACAGGGAAACTTTTCCTCTGAGTTTTAACACCAGTTTAAGATTCTTAGTATATTGCAAAAATCGTCTTTGGAATTAAATGGCAATCATAGACTTCCGTCTAAGCTCCACGTTTCACTTTAGGCCAATTTTGCACTCATTTCCAAAGGAACTTCCAAACCTGCAACGTAAAAATAACTTTTCTCCGAGACAGGTTTCTATTTTACACCGAAAAAGTAGCCATTTTTGAAGTGGTTCTTGGTATTTACTCTGAATTTTATCAAATTGGAACACCACATTTTAGTTTGGAAGGCGTTCATTTAGTTGTTATGTTTTCTTTTTCTTTTCTTAATTCCATCCTCATAGTTCTGAATGCAATAATAATAACTTGTCCTTTTGTAGTTGTATGTCTGGTCACCCTAGATTAACCTAAGGTGACCATCGTAATAAAGTTTTAATCCTTTTTTTAAAAAAATTGTTCATATTTCCTAAGTGGGCGGGAATTGGAAGAAATGGAAGTACATAATTTTTTTGCTGCATGTTTTGTGTGTTATATCTTTCAAGTTATATGAATACCACAAAACCCAGGGGAATCCTTAAAGAAAATCGCAGGGGTGCTTATTGAACCAGTTACTGCTCACATGTGGCATTCTCCAAACCTGTGGGATGTATCTTTTTTAATCTCATCAGTTTGCAAAGAACATGATCAAGCTGAGCTTTTTTAAGCTCATTTGAGTTTCTGATCATTGCAGAAATGAGCTGAAACAGCAATGCAAGTTAATATTGTAATGTAATAGTTCAATTAGTTAATCTACATTAAATTACTTGATTGTTTTAACAACCTGTTGAAAATTGACATTCCTTTGACAGCCCCACCACTCACTGGTTTTTGCCTTGCCATCTGGTAGCTCTAGGCTGATATATTCTGCACGAAACCCCTTGTCACTATTTTTGTGTGGATACTTTGTTATGAAACATTTTTAAAAAATACCCCTTTCATATACCTACTCAAGAACACTGCATCCCTTTTCTAAACCATTTGGAATGAAGTTAGTGAACAATACTACCAGAGAACATCAAGCATCACTTCAAGAGATGCTAACCAGAAAACAAGTAATTTATATTCAGTTCACGTTCACATTGGACTTAATATAACTGACAGCCGAGTTCCCTACTCTTTCAGAGGGGGGCGTTGGGATTTTCGATTTTTCGGTTTTGGCTATTTTTTAGAATGTTTCGTTTTTGCGCCAAAAAACGTCGGATTTTTGGTTTTGGTGTTCATTGTGGGTTGCGAACTTTCCGTTTCTTAGCATTTGATTTTCGGTTTTTGTATCGGATTTGGTATCCGATAGGGTTTGTGGTTTTTCCTATTTGGGTTCCGGTTTTTCTTCGATCTCAGCGTCTGCACTAAGTACTGATCTCGAATAGCCGCGAAACGCAAAGTTGTACAGTTAAGCCCTGGTCAAACGGCCCATGATAGTCGATGATAGTTGAAGCGCGCGCCTCCGTTTGACCACCAACTATCATGCACTCATCGACTATCGTCATTTATCATTCATTTGGAGCTTGTTCAAATTCTTCATGATAGTCGATGATAGTTTTTCTCGTTTGACCACCGCACATGATAGTTCGTGATAGTTTTTCGGTCAGCTGTTTTGGTATCATGCGCAATATTTCCTTGTAAGCGGCAGTGTCCTCCAATCGCAATTTCTCCACCAATATCAACATCCCGCTTTCGTTTCTCCTGTTGATCCATTCCCTTGTCCGTCCTCTCTTCCACCAACGCTCTCCAGATTCATCGTCCATACATTCCTCCAACAAATCGATCACCGGTAAGCAAGCTGCCGCCCTCTTTCGTCGCGAAAAATTCATAATTTACAAATTTGTCTCACGCGACGCCATTTTAGATTTAGCAGATACCAGCCATGGCATTCACAAATACTGTGATGAAATTATTGTAGTTTTCCCCCCATGCTCCACTTGTCACCATTGTATCAGATCGATAAGGATTTTCATAATTGGGATGTGAAAATTCATTGGTTTTGACGCCTTGTTTTGTATGCGGTTTTCGGTTTTGATCGAACTTTTTTTGCGGTTTTGCGGTATTGAATGATTTTTTCCACGGTTTTGCGGTTTCTAATAGACCCCAATGTCCCCCTCCTTTCATATACTTCAACTTGTGAAATCCCTACCCTTTTGTTTACCTGAACCCTGAAAAGGGTAACCCTTTTGGGCGAATATAGGGACTACCCCCTCCCTAGGTGGAAAATTTGGTACTGAGTCCTCTAAAATTGTCAAAACTCCCAATTAAGGTACAAATTATTGCTGTTAAATCCCAAGAAACTATTCATCCACCCCCTTTCCATGATTGTTACTTCCATTCCAGAGTTGCATAACTATGAACAAGTCAGCTGGTCAAAATCTCCATTTGTGTTCGGCGTTCCTTACATTCAAAGTTTTTATTTTCTAGCCTGTAAAAAGACTCCCTAGTGGGATGTGCAATGTAGTGTTTAATTTTTCACCTTATTTCCCACTATCAGCTACTATAATTTGAGGGCCGGGAGCCTATCCACAACCATCCAACATACTAGCATATAAACCATTTAAATCCTACTCAAATGATATTTTCACCTGCCTGCTTCAGTGGCGGGTCTAAGGGAGGGGCCCGGGGGGANCCCCCCCCCCCCCATTTTGGGTAAAAAATAAAGTAATCACAGAGGGAAGAAAAACCTGCAGGGCAAACAAGACAACCCCCCTCCCCCCCCTCCCCTAGCCCCCAATGCTCTTTCCTGGAGTGTACGGCTAGAGCAAGAGTGACAGCTGAAAAAGGAAAATCTCGTTCCAGTCTCCGCGCCAAAATAGTCGGCTCTGACTCTTTTCTGCTATTTTTGATCAGCGTGCACTGCCATTAGGGTAAACACTTGCAGCTGTTTTCATCTTTGAGCGTAGCTCGGCGATATTTTGAGTACCTGCAAGCTTTTTACCCGCAATTGTACCAGTTGTGGTCCACTGGGGAACATTTGGGTCTCTTCCTCTGCACAAACGATATGAGTTTGAGGTAAGTGACGACATCTGTGCGTTTCAGAGTAGAATTTTGCTTGTCTTGACGTGGCATTGTTGTGTGGTTGACTGCATGAAAAAGACGCCTGGCTTTTCTATAGTTTTCCGGAGGTGATTGTCCAAATCTAAAGCGCAGGAGAGTAGGCTATGCAGTGGGATGACTTTTGATAACAACCTCAGCGTTTGCAGCTTACTGTAACCGTCAAATGGTGAGATTTCGCTTGAAAAACGGAACATGGAGACTGTTCAATTAACACACCGACAGTTTCGAATTCGTATTGACAAGTGCAAGATTTTTCGTAATTGATGATCGAGCTAGACTTACTAGTATATTCGATTTCGATATTTGCTTTCATCTGCTGAACCAAATGCCGTAAAAAATATATAATATTCTCTTATGGTAAAGGCATCGCTCTTGCGTTGCTGGCAATTTGTGTTAATGTTTGAGATTTTAGAACTGATATTGCTTCAAAGAAAGAGAAAATGATTGACTACAAAATTTAATAACCGCGGATGAAAATTATAACTGATTCGAAGCAAATCGATCTGGCAAATATCGTGGAAAGCTTCTGTGTTAGGCTTCTTTCCACAGTATTATGGTTCCCCTATACATGTTTAATGTCAATGTTTTTTTTTTATTGCGGCGCGGTAACGGTTTTAATCCAGTTAGGAAGACATTTCAGCTGGTTAATGCTACCTGTTCTTTAGGTCTGTTTTTCCTGTCTGTTTAGTTCAGTTTTCCCTGCCATGCTGCTCAATTTGATCTGAACATTTAGCAACATGTCTAATATTTTTAGTGTTTTTTTCTTGGGGAAAGAATTTATATGCAAATGAATAACATTATTGTGGACTCTTGAAAAACACGAATGCACATTTTCTGCCGCTCTTCAAATTTTAATTTATTTTCTTTTGTATGTACAAATGAATTACATTTGTATTTGAAAGTAATAAAAAGGGGGAAAAAAATAAGTACTCATAATACTCTCGTAAATCATGCTGAGTGGAAATTGTGAGTTTCCTAAATCTTCCAAAATATCGTTAATAATGCTTGTCAACCCTACATGCCTTTAAGAGGATCTTGCCTTGCTTTTTGTTTTTTCTTCTTTTTTTATTGTTCGCTGTTTTTCCATGGCTAGGATTGTTGCCCATAATTTTCTAAGACTTCTTTATTTGCCAAGTAGAAATTTCTGTCATGAACTTTCAACAGCCATTGAACAAAAATCAGTTGCATCCCTGCAGAGTATATTTTATTTGTAATCATCTGAGCAACCAGGTAATGCTCTAATTAAAGATTAGTCTGCAAATGCAGATGGAAGTTTGTGAACCAAGCTCAAACAAGCCAAGCTGGCTTTTCTGGCCCGCACACCTTCAAAATTGCCCCAGAATCTTTGTTTGCTAGTGAAATTTGCAGCTGTGACAAACGTTCTTTCAGCTGGAGATGCACACTGACTAGCACACCAAAAAATAGTTACAGTGTGTACTGACATATTCTGGTTCTGAGTCGCATTTTTAATTAGGATGTAATGGGTTATTCCAGAAAAAATACACACCCCCCGACGGATGGCAAACTGGAAATTCTCGCGGGAGGGGGAGTTGATGGCTCAGAAATCCGGACGGGAGGGGGGAATCATAATATAAAAACTCTTCCTCAGGGGTCACTTTTGACTTTAGCCTCGATCGATATATTTCAACCACTTAAAAAAAGAACTTTGCAATGGGAAATCTTATAGTCTTTCAGTTTATAGTGTTCTTACCTCAATCATGAAGAACCAGTGCGTTGATAAATGGACAACAACAGCTTTACAACTGGATAAAACACCGTCAACTGAGCATGCAACGCCTGGAACATTTTTACAGCACCCAGGCCACCTGCGCCTGTGCTTTGTGACATCCTCCAAAATGCGAAGAAAAGACGATTTAGGCTGGGAGTCAGTTGTACTTTACTATTTTATTCAGGCAACCCAAGAACTCATTTTGCTGGCTAACATGTGTATGCACAATTTGCATATAATTTCTTTCTTACCTCTCATGATGTGTAACCGTAAAATCGTGGTGACGAATTTGCTTGTAGCATTGGGAATCTAAACAACCTCACAAGAGCAGAACTTGTTTATAAACAAATATACTTATTTTGGCGTTGTTAAGTTCTTTGAGTATTTCACATTGAAGATTCCTCGTCGGATCTACAAGAGTTTTAAGCAGTTTTATCTAGGCTGCTTCCACTTTATTATCCATGCCTTATGATGGATATGGTAAAAGACAAGTTTATGGATGCCAGAACGTGGTCATTACGCATGAAAACTTGAACACTTGAAAGAAAGGCAAGAGTTCCAGTTGACCTACAGATCCAAAAAGGTAGCGAAATTTAAAATTAGTCTAATTTGAAAAGCTTTCTTAATAAGCTAAGTACAGTGTAAATGTCACACTAACCTAACAACGGGAACTCAAATGTAGGCTGTCTTGTCACCAAAAACTGAAATTATAGTTTTTATTTATAATCGCCTTAAGGACATTTTTCGCTGTAATTTTTCTTATTTTTAAGACCTACGAATTTCTTATCTTGTACATTTGTTGTGGTAGAGAAAAAGGCAAATGGCATTTTAGAGGAGAGTGTGAGATCACTCAAACGTTAAACACGATTGTTTGAATATCGTTATCTGATTTAGAAAATGTTAAAATTTAACCCACAAAATTCGTAATATTCGCTTAGCTTTTAAAATTATAATAAACAGGGATCTTTTGGATGAAATGTTACATCTTTCCTATTGCCTGTTGTTTCCAGTTAGGGCCTTTAAAAAAAGAAATGGAAATCCGGGCTGGAGGGGGGGTCCTTGGGCTTGGAAATCCGGGCAGGAGGGGGGCTCTAGCAGTCTGGGAAATCCAGTCGGGGGGGGGTCAAAAATGCTTGCCATCCATCGGCGGTGTGTGTATTTTTTCTGGAATAACCCAATGTAGTGTTTAATCTTCCATCTGATGACAAAAATAATGGGGACTGGTACATTTACCCAAAATTCATAGCACAGGTAAACATTAACAACACTTATTAAAAGTTACAGAAAAAAATTCTAAAGTTTTCAAACCTAACATATACATACGGAATACTGTATGAATTGGCCTTGGACAAATATTGCAAAATTATGACTTTCCTTGTGCCTGATGGGCTGTGTTAAATGTTCACAAGGTATTATCACTGGTAAAATACACAGCTGCCATTTTTTTCCTACAGAGGATTACACGGCTGCAAATAATTTTTTCTCTTGAAAGGACACTTGTCTAAGACACCATTTTGGTCAGACAAAACAAATAATTTATTGTGGTCAGACATCACCAAAAAGAGTAAGATTTACTCATAGTAGATTTTTATTCATCCTTACCATAAAATGATTTACACTGTACGATAAAAACAAATTGTCCAGACATCATGTCCGACCACAGTTGGGATTTCATCGGACATGTGCTAATTTTGGTTGGCCAATTTTGGATGACCTACTGTAAAGTTATTTTCAGCCCTGTGATCAGACATGACCCAAAGAAGCTTGATGGTCTATTATTGCTGTACCTCTGTTTTTCAAGCCTACACAAGCAGTGTAACCTTGCAAGACCTTTGCCACGCTATCTCAGCCCTACCATTCACTGGTCTAATTCCACCAAGCTAGATATACTCTTGGGTAACGCTCTCATTGTGGGAGTGGCAGTGCTCTAATTATTTGTTCTCCCTGTAGCGTGGGTTGGTTTGAGCCCTGCTTGGGGTCATCGGCTTTCTGTTCTTGCCAGCTCTACCCAGATGCATAAATTAGTACCAGTGATGTTATGTAGGTACCCTAGTGATGGACTAGCATTTAATTCAGGGGGAGTAGAAACGCTCCTAGCTGCTTCATGCTACTGAAACTGAGATATGCTCTCAATAATGCAGACTTTACATTGCTCTCATTAAAATCATGATGAGAAAGAAAGTACGCATGTGTACTGCATGTAGCTGTAACTACAAGTCTTGGTCATTATTGTTCTGTCTTCAGAATTCATGTTTGTACATGGAATGTCAAGGTAACACAGCCACCAGACGAAGACTTCAGATCATTTTTGCATCTTGACAATGAAGAACAACTCCCGGACATTGTTGCTGTGGGGTATGGCTGTCATCTTACTTTGTTTTAACTTTGGAGCTTTTATTTAAATAAATATAATTGAAATGAGATACAGTCAGATCTCATTCATATGGATCACACATCTAAAAAGTACCTAGTTTAAGTTGACCTAAAGCAGTGCAAGTAATCCCTACTAACTTTTAGTCTGCAGGAGGTTGATGCCAAACCACAGTCATTATTAATTGAATATATCAAGGAAAACTCTTGGGTGAAGATCCTTCAGGCATACCTTGGAGCATATGGCCTGGTGAAGGTATCAAAAGACAATAATATTGATTATTATGTTGACTGGTATCATGCCACAGTATGACCTGCTCATACCATTCTTTAGATAAAGATAAATGTAAACTGATGTGTGAAGGGCTGAATAGGTTGATGCAAGTATAAGCCAGTGAAGAAACACTCCATTCAGTGTAGCAGAAGTCTGAAGTCAACAATTCATTTATTACATCCAAGACAGACCATTCACTCAGACATTTTCTTATCTTCTAACCAATCAAGCAGAAGCTCAACAAAGGTGGTAATGTCAATTAGCTCCCAATATTTTAATCTTTGCAGTTGTGAATCAAATAATTTTGTTGTTGCTGAGAAAACAAAGTAGACTTAGAATTTAATATTTGTTTCAATATACTATTACCTTCTATACATAAGCTGCATGTAATGGAGATAAAATAGTGAGCTAGCATTGAAGGCAATGCATTTTTCCAGAAAATATCCATACCACTCCCATGGAAGGTTCTTTTGGTTTTAAACCCTAACCCATCCTCCACAAATTCCAGTTAAATTTCAGATTGAACTTTCTTTGGAAAACATTACTCCTGACCCTTGGAATTTCAAATGACCTTCCTTGGGGTTGGTAAAGGTATTTCTTGGAGCTTCATTTATGGGATACTGCCAAATTCCTTTCAAGACTTTTGATTATTTGTATCCTGCCTGGGACAATAAAACTACAGTGTGCATTTTAAAATTCAGTATCTTACTTTACACACATATCTTGGATGGGTGATACTTTTAACAGATCTTGTATCAGGAAGGCGGTTTTTTGGAGGGGGAGGGGGGCAATGTCAATTACTTTTTAATGCTACAGATTCTTGTACATCATGTATTATTGTTAGTAATTGGGTAATTATGATCGTTGAGATTTTGCAAGTTAGCATAATTTAACATACACATGAACACATATGTAGCAATTTCCAAGTAGGGGACACTGCAGTTTACTCTCAAGAATTGACTTTTCAGGGTGCTCAAGTTATTAAGTACTGCTTACTTCTCATTACAGCTCAAGTCAATCCGCATGCTTGGAATGGTTCATCTTGTAGCTGTCCATACCAAGCATCTTCCATTTGTTCGTGAAATTAGGCCTGGTTACTGCAAAACAGCACTACTTGGACTACTGGTAAACAAACAACATCACTAATAATAATTTATTTCAGTCTACTTTAGTTTGTCTTTGTGTACTCAATTTTTCTTTCACTCAAGAAGCTTTTGAGATTCAACCAGAAAAAAAATACTATTCTAATGATGAAGTCCTCTGTTAGGCCTTAAACTGGTTGCTACTTGTATGTGAAATTTTAAATGCACGTAATGCTTTTTACATATCATCATGAACATGTAATTCTGTAGATGAAATCCTGGAATTCTCTCAAGAGGGGGATAAATTAAGCATGCAAAGAGAGAATTCTCAGGCTAGTCAAGGGAACAATAACAGAAACTAGTACCTGCAATGGGTAGATCAGTTCCATCTCTGACAATCACTTGAGCCTGCAAGTTTCATCGATGATACAAAATTTTCTTAAGACAAGTTATAACCATGAGATTGTATTTCAAGGTTTTTTAGCTCAGATGCGACACTGATAAAACTTAACGTTAGCTTCACTTGACACAGAAATAGTGATTTCCAGGCCAGCCCCACCTTTGATGGCTCAATTCTACCACTTTCTCTGGGTGCCTTGTCTTCTTCCCTAGTCTTTTCTTTCAAGATTTTGCCAGATTTTCAAGAAACATAACCCTGCGTATTGCATGTTAATAAGTCATATGTAACTGTCTGCACTCTAATTACTTTCCTGAAGGTTTTATCATCAATACTTTAATTTTTGCCACTTTGACTTCAGGGGACCAAGGGAGCAGTATCGTTACGATTTACTCTGTATGGACAAAGTTTCTGCTTCATCAACAGTCACTTCTCAGCACATGCTGACTATGAAGAACAAAGGAATCTGGTAGTACATCCAGTATGTTTTTTGGCACCTAGTAAAGTTACAGCATAATTTATTGCACCATCACTGTACCATAGTAACATTAAAATAACAGTTCACAGGTAGGAACAGGTAGATTTTATTCACTTTTTCAGCCTACAACCTTGTCACCTCCAAATCAGTTTGATACATCACAGAGACAAAACTTTGTCTCAGTTCAACAAGACTGGTTGTTAACGGGTTAGCTCTTCTTTTTACTGGTAAAGAGCCTTTTTGTGTGGATAGGGTCCTTACATTGTACATTTCTTGATAATGTTTCTCCTTCATGTATACTAAGGTTGTGGTGTTATGACCCTTTGACTTATGTTAACTGTCTTAAAAAGAACATTTTGCCTTGCGAATGTTGTTTTTACCAGTTGATCAAGTGTCACCCTATTCTTTAATTATACTCCTATCAAAAAATTATACAGCAATGCACCTACACTTTGTATAGACTGTTAGGAGTGTCCTCTAGTGTTTGGATTGTTGAATTCACATGCAACAAACAGTCATTTTGATTTAAGTTTTCACCCCACCCTAGTCAATCAACAGTATGGTATAAAGGGGTTGTGCAGGGTTGTGACAAATTTTTGAAGAATGCAGCTTTTTTTGTTGGAGCAGGTGGCTGATTTGCAATCTTTTCAAAAGAATTTGAAGTTAGTCAGAATAGATTTTAAATAGTAGTAGAGTAGACGCCTGAGATCATGAAGTAGATGGCTACTTTTGACAACCCTGCAGTCTGAGCACTAAAGTCTTCAGTTAGAGGCTGACACCCACTTCACTTCCAATTTGGTGCATATTTGCGATTTGTTTTATTTCCAATCCTTAATTACAGGAATATGAAAGCATCAGCCAGAGTTTGATGTTTGCAAATTGCACTCCACAGAAAGCTATGGAACACAGGTAGGAACTGGAAAGAAAACATGTTAATTGCGGAGGCCACGCCCATATGAAAACGTTGGGGATGTTAGTTGTCTCGCTTAGGAGTATAGTTCAAGGGTTCTAGTCTCGCTTAAGGTGTTGATGACGAAACGCCACTATTTTTAGCTGTCTTTCTGGGTGCACTCAAAGAACTCATAATAAAAGAAACGCTCTTATTTCAGTTTTTAGGCTCGATTTCCGTTGGCCACTATATATTTCATTGCATGTATGTTAGTTCAGTAGTATACAAGACCCCACAGACTTTGTAGCTTTAACTTTTGTCGTGTCAATATAAAGGTTTTATGTTATGTATGTTATGTATGTTAGGTATGTTATGTCCGGTCTACTAGGGAGGGCTCCTTTCCTAAACAGCAGCTGGTAATCGAGCCTTTTCCGTTATCTTTTAGGCGTCAAATAAAGTTCCAGCCATGCCCAGATAGGTTACCTTTACGGATTTAATTCAAATTTTCCTACGAGCATCCCCGACCTATTCATATGGCACTCCCTCCCTCTGGGTGCTAAATACTAAACATCAGCTTATGTCCATGCAGACTGTTTGATCGTGATAGTTCCTTGTTTTTCAGCTACGTGTTTTGGCTGGGTGATCTCAACTACAGAATAAATGAAACCATTGAAAACATTAAAGGGCTTTGTGGCAAAAAAGAATACTCCACATTATGGAAGCATGATCAGGTAGAGTATACACCTCTTACACAGCCGTTACATGGATCGTCGCGCAACCGTTGTTGTGATTCCCGTGTGAAACGTTGCGTGACAACTACCGTCACACAACTTTTTTTCTACCAATCGTAATGCGAGTCCGCAACAGATGAATCAATCAATGAGCCAATCGTGTTATTAATTTTTCTTATATTTTATGTTTTACTTGTTTACACTGCATTGCTTTTGGCATGTGAATTATAGCTATGGGATGATGAATTTTTAACGGCTTTGTTAACTTTTTCTGTCTTCTGCTAAGCTCTTACAAGGTCAACAAGCTGGAAAATGTTTTGTAAACTTTCATGAAGGAGAGCTCGCCTTTCCGCCCACTTACAAGTACAACCCTGGAACAGATGAGTGGGACACAGAAAGGTAAGTTACATGAAGCTACTTAACTGAAAGAGCATTAAGGCGGGACTTAACCTAAAATTCTGAAAGAAATTCGAAGTTTTGTTTTTTACGGAACTCGAATCTTAAGGTATTTAAGTTTTATTTTGACAAGTACTGTTACTGTAAGTTTAAAGCTCGTTTTCTCAAAACGAGTTATTTTCGCCTTCTAGAAAAGATATCTTGAGAAGGATTTNTGCCCTCTTGTAGAAGCATCGACAATAGAGAACATTGCCTTAGATTAGGGGCATGTACCTGGAATATCAGAGAGCCATGTACTGGAATATTGTTGCAAGGCTGTTTCAGATTAACTCACTGGCTTGACTTGCTTGTAAATCAATCACAGGTTATCTATTCTCCGATATCTGGTAACGTCAAAACAACGGATGACTCCATTCAGATCACGGGCTGGCCTAAAAGTGAATGGGCCGGTTATATTGTGTTTATCTCTCATCTTGAACCCTTTAATATTAGCAGTGTACAGAGTGGGCAGATCATTGGGACAGCTTTAACAAGTATAGGCTCAGTTCTGCCCAATTTTGTGCGCTTGAGTGTTGCACAAGACAGTGTTTATAAAGATCCCCTGGAGTACCTGCTTCCATGCAGCCCTGGTTGTTCTCAAGTGAAACATTTCTACAATGGGATCTGCGATGAAGCCTGTAATACAGAACAATGTAATCACGATAATGGAGAGTGCACATCGAACTACAACAACCAATCAGATTTTTTGCTACAACCGAGAAGCATCCGTGATTTCTTTTCCGTTACAACTTTGAAGGTCTTGTACCACTTACAGAAGACAACTGGAGAGAAATTAATCGACATCGCACGTGGACCACTCAGCCTCTACTCTTTGGCTAAGGTGGTAGTGCTCGAAATACTCGACACTTCTGATCTTCATTCACCTCTTGTTTTTAGAAACTACAGGCGCCGAGTTGTCAAATTTGTGGAGGTTTTGTTGTCTCAGAACACGTCAATTGAAAAATTGACTTTGTTAACTGCCGAAAAAGTTATTGAGCTTGGAGTTCACCGTGTATCTCCATTTGGTAGCTGTGGCGCTGACTACGATATTGCTGAACTCAAAACCTCTTCATTGCAAAATAAAACCAATTTTCAAATAGGTCTTGACGCGCTTATGGAGGCCCGATTGTTGTTCTACACCCTTGCTCAAAATTATAGCGGAACTGTAACACCATATTTCCATCTCCAAATACCCCGCCAAACCATCAAAACCAACAAACTCAAGCACTATGATCCAACACAACAGGTCAGCCGTGAATGCAATTCTCTGACCTCATGCTCTGGACATGGCGTTTGTATGGCAAATGGGAGCTGCTATTGTGATCTATTCTATACTGGAAAAAAGTGCCAGATCAATAACTGCCCTGAAAGTTGCTCTGGTCATGGAAATTGCATCGAAGGCGTGTGCGTTTGTAACTTTGGTTGGGATGGAAATGACTGTTCCAAAATCAAGTTATGTACTCCACTATGTCCACAAATCTGGATTGGTGACGGCGTTTGCGATCCAGATTGCGATACACTTGATTGTTTACAAGACAAAGGAGACTGTCGGAACGTTTGTATTTGTCCAGATGCATGGCTTGGTGACAGATCATGTGACCAGGTGTGTAACAACACACTTTGCAACTATGATGGTGGTGATTGTGTTGAAAAGGAGTGCAGTCCCGGATGTCGATCATTAATGCTAGCAGATGGGATATGTGATCCTGAATGTAATACAGAATTGTGTGGTGTGGACGAAGGAGACTGTAGTACCATTCCAACGTGTTCTTGCAGCCAAAATCTTCAAGGAAACGGCGTGTGTAATGAGGACTGTAACGTGGCCGCCTGTTTGTACGACTATGGAGATTGCACCCTACAAGTCACTGGAGAAAACTGTCCTCCAGCTTGTTCGCCTCCAATGGTTGGAAATGGTTTTTGCGACTTGCCCTGCAATGTGTCTGCCTGCAACTTTGACGGAGAAGATTGTGACCCAGCTAAAACTGCTTCGACGATAGATCTGTGCTTTGAAGGCTGCCTTCCAAGCTTTCGTGGTGATGGTGAATGTGATTCTGTATGTAATGTTCGGGCCTGTAACTTCGATGACAATGACTGCCCCAAACCTATCGTTCAAGAGTGTTCTCCAAAATGCCAACTGAGTATGGTGGGAGATGGCATCTGTCAGTCACAATGTAAGGTAGAAGAATGTTCATTTGATGCCAATGATTGTCAGTGTGCACCTGGTTGTTCAAATGCGTCTTTAGGAGATGGAATTTGCAACGTTGATTGCTTTGTAGAGCCTTGCAATTACGACAATATGGACTGCATTTGTTCCTCAAAGAAATGCCCCAAAGAGTATCTTGGTAACGGTCACTGTGATCTTCAATGCAACAGTAGAATTTGCGATTATGATGGTGGAGATTGCACATGTTCAAATGATTGCCCCATTACCTCTATTGGCGATGGATCCTGTGACCCAGCTTGCGATACAAGGCTTTGTGATTTTGATGGCTTAGACTGTGGAGGCTGCGAGTCCGAAAACCACTTTAACATTTGTGACGAAAATGCCGAATGTATTGTCACCAACGGATCGTTACCGTTTTTACAGTGTCAATGTAAAAAAGGATTTTATGGAGATGGCTTCTCTTGCGTAGAGAGAGGAAACTGTTTCAATGCGAGCAACATTTGCTCACCACGTGCAACGTGTAAAGAATCTAACGGAACGTTTGAATGTTACTGTAACCCAGGGTGGATTGGTAACGGCATTTTCTGTGAAAATAAAGATGAATGTAACGAGGAAAGTCACAACTGCAGCATTAATTCAAAATGTGTTGATCTACCGGGAGAATACAAATGTATTTGCAAGGCTGGATGGGTCGGGGATGGCTACAATTGTACAGATGTCAACGAGTGCGAACTCAACAGGCATTCTTGCTGCGCAAATGAAGACTGCATAAACACGAAAGGCAATTACACTTGCGCCTGCAAGCCTGGGTGGAGGGAAAAAAGGAACTCAACGTCAGCAACATTAGAAAGATGCACCTTCAATACAAGCTTCATGTGTGTTGACATAGATGAATGTGCAGAAGAGAAACACAACTGCTCTACTTACGAGGGTCAAGCTAATGCAATTTGTATCAACACCATCGGTGGCTTTCAGTGTTCCTGTTCCGAAGGATGGCAAGGGGATGGTTTTTATTGCAATGATATAAACGAATGCGTAAATAGCACTGTCTGTAGTACTAATCAGGTCTGTAGAAATATGGCCGGGAACTATTCTTGTTCCTGCAAGGAAGGTTGGACACTAACTGGATCCATGAATGACGAATGCCAAGATTTGGACGAATGCACTCTCGGCTTGGACGACTGCGACACCTTCGCATCTTGCATTAATACAAACGGAAGTTTTAGGTGCGAATGCATGGAAGGATTTCAAGACACAGAGAGAATTTGTACGAAATACCATTGTAGAAATCAGACAAACCGTGCAACTAGCTCAAATGTGGGAAATAATACTGCAACCTCAGAAGAGCTCTGCACTTGTGTCGGAGAGTACATGAACACTGGACGAACATGCGTGGACGTAGATGAATGTAAGTGGAGTATATTCCATTGCCCTCCGGCAGCGCCAATATGCCAAAATTTGATTGGTGGTTATGAGTGCAAATGTGATGCTGTGGATAACTCGTCATGTGATCCTGTGAATCCTTGTGACTCTAGTAACAACACGTGCGAACAAAACATGACTTGTATTGCAGTTGGGATGGAACATTACTGCGTCTGCCCAGAAGGATATACTGAAGACCAAAATGCAACAGCGTGTATTGATGTTGACGAGTGCATCAATCCAAATTTCTATGGCTCCTGTGATCCCAATGCTGACTGCATCAATCTTAATGGCAGTTTTGAGTGTAAGTGCCGTGCAGGCTTCTTTCAGAGCGGGGATGGTTGTTTCGAAATTGATGAATGTGAAGGAAAGATCACTCGAACTTTTGCAGGGCTCCTCGAGGAATGCAAAGTTGGCGTTTGCGCAACAACCGAAACCTGTATTTATCGCAACATTTCAAGTGATGGAAGCGATGACAACAGCTTCACCTTGCTTTGTGCCTGCGATGATAGCGACAATAGCAAGATAGACTGTGTTGAGGCTATTGTGGAAGTAATTCAATCTGCAGAACGCGTTACAACTATAATATCCATTCCTTTGGATTTAATGGTTAACACAAGTTCAAATGCTACTACGAAAAACCGAACTAGCGTTGGTCATAACTGTACGAAGAAAGCCACTTGCAACAATACGGTAGGATCATATGAATGTATATGCCAGGAAGGATATGAAAGGCAAGACGGCGGACGGAACTGCGAGGATAGAGATGAGTGCCTTGCAAACGATACTTGTCATGCCAATGCCACTTGTTTAAACACAGATGGGTCCTTCTCTTGCGAGTGCAAATCTGGTTTTACTGGAAATGGTCTAACAAACTGTTCCGATGTTGATGAATGTTCTCTCAAAATTGGAAATTGCACTCACAACTCCTTTTGTGTAAATACAGCAGGAAGTTACATTTGTACATGCTTAGAAGGTTTTCAGCGAAACGGGACTTTGTTGTGTGAAGACATGGATGAGTGTTCCAGTACTGATCTCAATAATTGTCACCCAAGGGCATCGTGTGAAAACTCCATTGGTGGTTACAACTGCAGCTGCTTGAAAGGCTACTCGGGCAACGGTTTCACATGTTCGGACATAGATGAATGCAGAGTTAATTCCATTCTGTGCGCGAAACATGCTTCTTGTTACAACACTCTCGGTTCTTATAAATGCAAGTGTGACCGGGGCTGGTCAGGGGATGGACAAATCTGTACTAACATTGACGAATGCTCGCTTGGTTTGCATACGTGTGTGGAAAATTCATACTGTATAGATAACCAAGGGAGTTACACTTGTCCTTGTAACAGAGGATGGAAACGTCAGTGGTTTGAGCCCTATGGTAGATGTTCCAGGTGTGATCCAAACCTTTTCTGTTCTGGTCATGGACAGTGTTTGCGAAATGGAACGTGTGACTGTCTTAGTTATTACAGTGGACAGAACTGCTCCGTGTGCAGGCCAGACGTCCGTTGCTCAGGCCATGGAACCTGCGACTTTAATGGGAACTGTTACTGTGAACATGGCTGGACAAGACAACCTCTGGATTGCAGTATTTGCTTACCAGAGACGCTGTGCAGTGGCCACGGTACATGTAACTACGACCTGATAACGTACAAAAACCAGTCTTGTTTTTGTGATGACAGGTACTTTGGGAATAACTGTAGCAAAGGTAAGGAACGTTTTTTCGATACCTTTCTTGGACATCGCGAAAAAGTGAAAATTTAGCTTCCACATCCTTTTACATTGATAAACATAACACCCTTCTTTCGTGCGTTCATCACAAGAGCAAGAAGCAGTAGTAATATTTCTAATGCAAATCAATTAAATTGCAGCATGTCCTTTTGAGAAGGGTGAGGTGTGTGGGCCTAATGGCTACTGCAACCGTGATCCAGGTGCATTGTACCCATGTGTTTGCTTCTCCGGATATCAATGGAACGATAGCTCCTCCTTTTGTGAGGACGTTGATGAGTGTCTTCTTAACTCACACCATTACTTGCCACCAGCCAGATGCATTAACACCCCAGGCTCCTATCGCTGCCAGTGTCCTTCCCTCGTGGGGTGGTCCTTCGATGGCAGATCTTGCAATGATACTGATGAGTGCCAGTATCCAAATGTTTGTGACCCACAGGCTGCGTGTGTCAACTTTCCAGGAGGATTTAATTGCAGTTGTAACCTAGGATGGCGAGGACAAGGGGCACACCCTACATGTTCTGATATCAATGAATGTGCGGAAGGAACTAACAAGTAATGTTTTTTTTTTCACACTAAGTTAAAGTTACGAAATATATATGTTTATTTCTTTCATGTGAAATCTTGTGAATTAAACGATAAACCACTCTTTCTATGGGTTTACCGGGGCAATAAACCACGCATCACTCGCCTAACGGCCCGTGATTAACAAGCTTTTCGAGTGTTCTCCCAACATCCCAAGTGGTTTTTTGCGCAGGTAAACCCATCGAAAGAGTGTTCTATTGCTTTTATGAAATAACTATGGGAAACTTTTGTCAAAGAGAGGAAAATTTATTGTACTTTCATTATATTAAGTTGCTTATCTCCATCAAATTCATGAAATGACGCGACAAACCAAACACAGTGGCTGACAGAATGAAAGCACAGTTTCGGCGCCAGACACAAAATCCGCAGAGCAAAACGACAAAAACATTTCACGCTAACAATGTTTTAAGTAAGGATAGGGAACGGTTATCGGTGAAAGGTAGAAACTGTAAAATAAATAAATTCAAAAGTATTTTGACGACTTGTAGGCAGAATCGGCCATCACGAAAGTAAAAGACTGTACGGACAGTTTGCAAGTAGTACAAACTTCATACGCTTGGTGAAGTGATTCAACGATACTTTACAAAGGATTGCGAATGGAATGAAAGTTAGTTACAGAAACGCTGCTTCCGAGACTTATTCAGAATTTATTTATTTATTTATTTATTTATTTATTTATTTATTTATTTATGTATTTATTTATTTACCTTGAAGGCTATGAAGTCCGTGTCTCTCTGTATTTTGTTAAATGAAAGCTATTACTTAAAAGCAAAGCTAAACGGAAACTAAATTCATTTATCGTGTCATGCATGCATGCATTAAGTTTAGTCCATAAATTTCTCGTAGGCGTAAATATCAGCTCGTGAGAAATATCTTCCCTGCTTTCTAACGACCCAAATTGATCAGTTGAGCCCACCGGTTGTCAGAAATGCATCCTCCACAGACCGCGGAAAGCACCAAAACCACTTACAACTTCCTTCTAACCTTAAGCGTAAACGGAATCGGTGTAAAATTTTTGCAATGGAAGAAAAGTTTAAGCATATGAATTTATCTATGGGAACCAACTTCTAGTTCTGTTTTTCCTTGTAACTTTCCATGTATATGTTGAATGAAAGATATTCTTGTAGTTGACATCTCAGCCAGCGAAAGCCGTTTAGATCAGGTTAGACTGATCGATTGACCGAAATTTATTTTTCTTCAAACTAAAGCTACTAAACTGTGAATGAAGTGAACAACGATAAAACAAAGGTACCGGATAAATCTATTTTTCGTAGTGTTTCAATTCTTTGTTTTACTGCCGAACTCAATGTGTAAAATTGATTCACAATCGATGTACTTGTATTATAGCTGTAAATATAGAGGATAATACATGGGTGCGCGTAGATATGGAATATCTCTTCGAGTGTTCAACTTGATATCTCACGAGTGAACGCAGCTCACTCGTGAGATATCAAGTTGAACACGTGAAGAAATATTCCATGCCTACAAGCAACCATGTATTACTTTGTTTATTATATAAACGTACTGATAATGACGTTTTCCGAAGATTTTCAAAAATTGTTGGAAGGCCAGACGAACGTTTCCGAACATTCTCCTTATAAAAACTTTATATCTTGTATTATTAACTAGTCTTAGCTTAATTTCATTTTATGAATAAATTATATCTGGTCCTATGTAAATAGATTTCAATCTTAAATTTTAAACTTATATCTTCTTAGTTACTTGTTGAAGGTATTTTCTCAATTTTAGTTCTTTTATTTTTACTTTCTGTGTTATACCTGCAAACTAGCTGGTGAGTTTTCTCACAAAAGCTAAGTGTATATACACAATAAACTTGACTTACTTACTCCGAAGATTTCCGAAGTTTTCCGAAGATGACCGAAGATTGCCGAAGACTTTCGAGTAAGATCCGAAGATGTTTCGATTATACGCCGACACATTTAAGTACAATTTAAGGGATTTATTATGTAACCTTAGCGACGGTGATCTTTTCACACGTGAAAATAACATTTTATTTTCACGTGTGAAGATATCAAGTTTTCGCGCAAAGGCTCACCTGGCATTTCATTCGTGTTTATATAACAATTAATTAAAGCTATGGCTGCCTACGTGTATGGAAACGAACAATTGCGTCTTTGCTTTTATGTTATAGTCCGTTATTTTGTATTTATTGATGTTTACCTCTGAAAATTATACTAAAACAATTATTTGCCTTAGGCTCAGGGAACATATATATCTTATTAGATTTTTTGGTGTGTAGTATCGCCGTATATTTTTACGAGTTGTGCCGTATTTTGACGCGCCCGTAGGGCGAATCAAAATACAAACAACGAGTAAAAATATAAAGCAATACTACAGACCAAAACATCTAATAAGAGATTTATTATCCAACTGCTGTAGTCAATGAATTTATCAGTGAAAGAGGGAGAATGTGACAGTTTTACGTGCGCGCGCCGACCTGTCCGGCAAACAGGTTTTCTACTGTACAAATAACTGTACAATATCGCTGTATATTTGTACTGTTATTTAGACGGTATTCGCTACAGTTGGTTAATAGTGGTGAATATTCACTTAGACTTCGTCTCGGTGAATATTCACCGATGTTCACTTAGCCTGAGGCGAATAATGTTAAATAGCCACATCATATGTTATTCATTTGAATGTGAGGGCAAAAAAACATGTTTTTCGTCCACTACGGCAATAGAATAGTAGATAAATGACGCTTACGTTAGTGATAAACGAACGAACTGGCCACATAGCAACGTGGTTTAAAACGTAACTTTCTTGCGATCAACAGACATAAGGCGTATTATTCTAGCCTTTCAAAAACCTGCAGTAGATCATTTTGCCATCCTTTCCATTATTACTGCCATTATCTTTTATTTACGACAAGCATGACGGAGTTTTCTGTGATTTCCTGACAACACATTTTTTCCTAATAGATGTCCGAATCCGTCTAGATGTGTCAACACCCTTGGGAGTTATTATTGCGTTTGCGATCCAGGCTGGGAAAAAGTTTCAGAGTTCCAGTGCACAGAAATAGATGAGTGCAGTCGCGGAATTGATGGATGCGATCCCAACTCTGCTTGTAAAAACACACCCGGAAGCTGGAAATGCACATGTAACAATGGGTGGTACCCATACCCATCTGATGCACGTCTACCCACGTGTAAAGACGTGAATGAGTGCGTAGAAGATCCAAATGCTTGTCCAGTACAGTCGCTGTGTGTTAATTCTGTAGGTTCATACCATTGCAACTGCCTGTCCGGTTGGCGAAACCGAGGTCCTCACGCATGCGACGATATTAACGAGTGTTATGAAGGATCATACAGCTGCCCATCAAACTCACGGTGTATTAATACGCAAGGTTCGTATCAATGCCACTGCAATTCTGGTTACACTCCACCTATCACCACAACAACTTGTCAAGACGTCGATGAATGTGCAATAGGAAGCCACTCCTGCTCCTCATATGGCAACGCCTACTGTGTCAACACCATTGGTTCCTATACTTGTCAATGCTACCGCTGCTACTACATGTCTGGCAGTTCGTGCCAACGTAAGTAACTTTTAATACTGAAGTACAGTACAGTTATCTGATTTAGCGCTCTCCTTTCCCTCCTCCTTTGGAGGTGCGCTGGCCTCGTGGTTAGTGCGCTCGTCTCCAGATCAAGCGGTCCGAGTTCGAACCCTGGCCGGGGACATTGTGTTGTGTTCTTAGGCAAGACACTTTACTCTCACAGTGCCTCTCTCCACCCGCAAACTTAATGCTAGGGGTAACCCTGCGATGGACTAGCATCCCATCCAGGGGGGAGTAGAAATACTCCCAGTCGCTTCATGAAACAGAATCCGTGATAAGCTCCGGTCTGATGGGCCACTTGGCTCGTATTCAGCCCTTACATTTTTACCTTACCTTTCAAGTAAGCCCACCCCGTTTTCCGCTGTTTCTAGAATACGCGCCTTCTACACTGTGTTTCGATAATTGTAATATTTCTGCTGAGTGTTGTTAGGTTCGAGTTGAGAACGATTTATATTTTATTTAAGCGTTTAGTTAAATCCATTAGAGCAGGTTCCACCAAGTTCATGGCTTGCAATTTTGGTACTTAGGTCAAGTCTGCATACGAGCAAAGTGGCTCATCAGGCCGGAGCTTATCCCAGTTTCAGTAGCATGAAGCGACTAGGAGTATATCTACTCCCCGCTGGATGGGATGGTAGTCTATCGCAGGGTTACCCCCAGCTTTAAATTCGCCGGTACCCATTTATACACCTGGGTGAAGAGAGGCATCGTGAGAGTTAAGTGTCTTGCCCAAGAACACAACACAATGTCCCTGGCCAAAGCTCCAACCCTGGACCGCTCGCTCCGGAATCGAGCGCACTAACCATGAGGCCACCGCGCCTCCCACAATTTTTGGTACTTAAGGGATCGATGTTACTTTAAGGTAAAAGACGAAATTAAGTAAGCGCCTATCCAATAGAGAACCTCCCTGACTGCTCGAGAGCCCAAAATTTCATGAGCACCTCAGTTGTTTACTCAGATTGTTGAGTGCCTTGTAAATATCACACTTATTCTACCCTTAGTTTAACAACGGTAGTGTTACTGCGCCAAGAAAGCGCAAATTAAACCTTAAAACTTTTACACAGCTGATCTAAACGGAAGTTTGTGCGATTATTCAAAATTTTAATTCGAAAGCTGAAATGTTTGGCATAATAAAAAATAATTATAATAGCAAGACTAGTGTAAATTTATTTCTTCCCAATTTCTTTCTCGCAGCTGATTGCCGGTCGGTCACTCGGTACTATTATGTAAGAACCTATACCAGCTATACCACTTACTACACCACACGTTGCGGTGTGTGGGGCAGATGCAGGGCTTCAAGGTAGGTTAAGACCATAGCCTTGTCGTTTTTACTTCGCCCGCATCCATTTTCGATCCTCCCTAATGATCGAGAGCCAGCTCTACCAGCCACACCCCTGCAGTGTAAACCAAGGCTTTATCTTTCAGTTGCTGACAGAGAACATTTATCCAGTGATAAGGCCTCTTACATTTCCAAACATCTGCAGAATTCTGAACATTGTCGCACCTTATGTTCAGCAGATTGTATCCATGTTTTGGATCATGCCTGCAGTAGTTTTCATCTTAAGATAAAAAAGGCTATTCGTATTCAAAGAAAACAACCCTCTTTGAATCAACAATTACACCAAGTAAATCTAAAACTATTCTTATAATTCTCACACTTTCGCGCTTTGCTTCATCTTGTTGTCACAATTAGCATTTTTCTACTTATTATAAATTCAGCTGCCAATGCTTTGTCAATCAATCAACTGACGATGACAGTAGGTTCTGTCGAAATATGTCTTTGAAACTTAAACGTTTTGTCGTTGCGTTTAAAAGTGTAAATGTTTTGTCTCCCCAGGCGGGCGCGGAAGTCACAACAGAAACTACTAAGTCGAAGGGTCTGGGTTCCAAATCGTCATGGGGCAAGTTGTCCGTGTTCGTAAATGACGTTATCATCAAGTCCTTACAGTTTTAGGAAATTATTTCGTATAGCTGCTTACATATGGCCTTAACTACAGAGGCGGGCAAATGACGATGCGACATATGGCAATCCATTTCAACGAAAACCGTTGTCGTATGTGTTTTATAGCTGTATAAGGTTTCTATAATTCCTTAGCCTTAGTGACGCTCTACAAAAGCGGAAAAAACATATTTTTAATCTTACGGGCCAGTTTTTGTGTTGCTAGTTTGGAGGGAGGGGGAGGAGGTGGAGCGGGAGAATGGGGAAGAGCCAGGAGCCCATGACTGAGTTAAGTCCGTTCATGCTTTGTTTCGTCAATTGTTGTCAGGGGTCAGGGGCGTACACCCTGTTCAAGAACTGCCTCCAGTGTGGGGTCCAATCCCCAACCGCCATGGCCACTAAAAATTGAGAAATTCCGGGCATTGACTGCGTGATTACTGCTTGGTCGTCCTGAAAAAGGAAAAGGCGCTAACAGCGTTCTTATGCATAAAGGTGGAATAAAAAAATAACACCAGGGGCCATTGCCAAAGTTTTTTAAGAATCAATGTTCAACGTTACGTCCATCTTCTATGAATAAAGTTGTTTACTAACTTACTCACCGAAGGCCATTTCCGAGTTACATTGTGCCTCTGTTTCAAAACGAGTCTTCGTGCAAAACGTTTCTTATGAAAATAAGTTTGATTTGCATGAAAATGAACCTGTAAGCGGAACTCATTCTCATATGAATAGTTTCACACTTAGACTCGTTTTGACAGAGAAACAAAAGACAACTCGGAAATGGTCTATTTAGTATGCAACTAAAAACCAGGATTTGGATGGGGTTCCTGGTATCTCAGATGTCAGTTAAAAAATGTCAGCCCACTTCTTGGATATTAGAAAATTTTGCAGCTCTCAGATCTCAGCTGTATATCAGTTCTCAGCTACAAGTTAATAAAACTCGTCCAGACTCTCCAAAAATAGCTTAGTTTTACACCTGATCCTTTATTTTCCACAAGGCTACCAGTAGTTAATGTTTCTAACCTCTCAACGCAGTAAATGGGAATTTCGTCTGTTTAAGGAGAATTGATAGACTTGTATTGGGGGTTAGTCAAAAAAACCTCAGTCTCCAAGCGAGACTGCTTGGTGTTCAGCGGGCCTCCTCATTCCCTTTGCTCCATGCCCTACCCTCCCCCCTTGCCCCCAAAGAAAAAGCACGAATCGGTTGTTCAAAAACGGTTGCTTTGAGATAAAAAGATTGCGTGCTATTATCTAAAATAAGAAATATAGTTGCTGGCGATAGCGATAACGCAGAAACCGGATAGAAGTATTGTTTAGGTGTATACACTCTGCAATTTTCACTCGATTACTATATTTTTTTTTACATTTCACTTAAATTTTAAATAATGTAGGTATCTATGGGTACTGTTGTTACAATAGGCAACCTATTGTAGGTAAAAAGACTAAAACAAAACAGAGAATTATAATACATAAACATTTAGTAGAGTAGAAAATATAGTTTCCGTGTTTTCTCGATTACCTAAAACTTGACCGGTGGCGGATCTAGACCTTGAGCTAAAAGAGGGGGAAGGGGGGGGGGGGGGGGG